TATATATATATATATACGACGTGAAAAAAAAATTTACCACTGAAGAATTTGAAATTATGTCACTGAAGAATTTGAAAATGCCGCGTTTTTTTTTGTGAATAACTTCGTGTCACATATTGACCAATCAGAATTAAGGATTAGCGGTCAGGCAGTTTCGAGATATTTCGATATAAAACAACTTCACGTTTCTTTCATCTTTAGTAAAATGGAATATAGTACATGAAAAAACGAAAAAAAATCGTTTTTTATTTATTAAAATCCGTCAATTTGTTCGCGAGATATGATTTTTCAAAAATTTCAGCTTTTAACACATGTTGTAGACAAGCAATTTATGTTAAAGAAACGAAAATTTAGGGAAATCATGTACTTATCTAGTATTTGACTGCGAGCATGTGAATTCAGGATTCTGAGAACCCGAAAAATTCAGGGTGGCTGAGTTAACATGGAATGTCCTATATTGACGAAACAAGATTTTTGAAAAATTGCTGTATCTCGGCAACTACTTGACTGATTGAGCTGAAGTTGCGTCTGGAAGGGCTCCAAAGCNTTTATTAAAATCCGTCAATTTGTTCGCGAGATATGATTTTTCAAAAATTTCAGCTTTTAACACATGTTGTAGACAAGCAATTTATGTTAAAGAAACGAAAATTTAGGGAAATCATGTACTTATCTAGTATTTGACTGCGAGCATGTGAATTCAGGATTCTGAGAACCCGAAAAATTCAGGGTGGCTGAGTTAACATGGAATGTCCTATATTGACGAAACAAGATTTTTGAAAAATTGCTGTATCTCGGCAACTACTTGACTGATTGAGCTGAAGTTGCGTCTGGAAGGGCTCCAAAGCAATACCAATTATGTGACAAAATTTCAGATTTTTAGCTTCAACTTTAGTCCTTTTTGTGTGAACATTTATAAAAAATTTCCAAAAAATTAGCACGCGCAGTTAAAATGAGAAAATCGTCAAAATCAACTATTACAATGCTTCCATTCGGAAACAAAAACAATTTTTCTTCAAAAAGTTGAGAAAGTTTCCGAAGCATTGAATAATAAAGAAGTAGTACTAGAAATAAGATGTCTTATTGACAATGAACAATTCAAGATTTTGGAACAATCAATTCTATTCTCACAACAAATTTTGTTTAATCGCAGGACACTTTGAGTAATCATTAAAACATGTCTTATACTTGGTAATTATCAACGGGCGCTTTTCCCAATAAAACTTGTTTGCGAATATCATCTTCTTTCTCCCATTGTCATCAGTGTACTCAGTTCATTAGCGAGGTCTTGTATTTGGACAAAGGGCTTATATTTATACAATACATTGACAGAAAAACACGTTCTCAAACAAGTCTTGTTTGGCCAACAAAATCGCTAGTTGAAATTCGCCAAAAAGAAGTTGTTTGGTTAAAATTCGAAAGTCTCAAACATGAATAATTGCTCTGCTTTCGATAATAACGATATATTTGGTTGAAGAGATGGATAACGAGCCTTTTAAGGATGAAAATATCTCATATAGAACGACATTTATCAAGAAATATTTTGTCCCTAAATTATAAGATGCTATCATATCATTATTATTGTTTCATCTCTTATCTGTGATTATTAGATAGCCGAAACGAAAAACTACCGTTCTTTGGATCACATAAAACGAATATTTTTCGGGAGCAAAATACGTATAGGAGTATCGAATGACGAAGGAGTAGTGCTGGAAATGATATTTCTTGCGTGTACAGAGAATGTAATTCTTTTGAACTACTAAATCTATTTTTGCGGGAAAAATGTTTCATCCCGGTGTATTCTCTGCATGTTTGGCACAAAAAATTCCTTTTTGATAATTTCCTAAACATCATTTTCTTGGCACAAGTAACACGTGCTTGAGAACTCTCTCGTTTTTCTCTCAGTGTATGATTCAATTGAGTGTTTTAAATAATTTTATCAACACACCGATAATTCAAAATTTAAGACATGTTTACAGAATTTTTTCAGTCTTACAAGTTTTATTGGGTCTGCAAAGGAAGTAATTCGTCTGCAATTCGGTTTGAAAACTGACTGATTAACATATTTTGCTTATCATTCATATATTTTATTTGACGCAGATTGAAGTGAATGAATCGTCATTACCTCTCCGTTATTGACAATCACCAGTGGAAGAAGTACAATTGGCCATAATAATAATATGAGAGTCCTCCAATAAATGCACATAAATCTACCAAGAAGGACTATATAATTGACATCTTTTCTCAACGATCTAGAAAGAGATGAAAAAGATTCATTATTGTCCCCAAAATTTCGTCATTTTGCAAAAATCTAACCCATAAGAAAATCCCTGTATGGCGACTCACACTTTAGTATCTCCGTCTATTTTAATACTGATGTCCTCTTTGGTAACCATTCTGCTGGACTGGGTATTCACACGTTGCTGGAACAAAAATTAACCTTTCAGTATGAATATAAACTACGTCCCGGGATTAAAAATTTGAGTCTTTTTGGCAAGGATCTGGAACGCGCTTCTGTTTCGGTTTCATTCTTCAGGTAAGAAATGAAACTAAATTGTAGCGTTACACCCAGGAACGAAATTCAGGAATGAAAATTGAGTAACGTTACTGCTAGGAACGAAATTACAGAACGAAAGTTGAGTAACGTTACCGCCTGGAACGAAGTTAAGGAATGAAAGTTGAGTAACGTTACCGCCAGGAACGAAGTTCAGGAACGAAAGTTGAGTAACGTTACCGCTAGGAACGAAATTCAAGGATGAAAATTGAGTAATGTTCCCGCCAGGAACGAAATCTACGAACGAAAATTGAGTAACGTTAGCACCAGGAACGAAAGTCCGGTAACGTTACTGCCTGGAACGAAATGCCGGAACGGAAGTCGAGTAATATTACCGCTTGAAACCCAAGCGCGTGATAAAAGGGAAATAAAATCGTTACTCAACTATCGTTCCTGAATTTCGTTCCTGGCGGTAACGTTACTCAATTTTCGTTCCTGAACTTCGTTCCTGGTGGTAACGTTACTCGATTTTGGTTCCAAGTTTAGTCTCGTTTCGCTTAGCGTTCCTGGGAACGAAACGCAAAAACCGCTATTTAGTTCCGTTCTAGAATTTCGTTCCAAGTCCCTGCGTTTTGGGATCTGTAAGGCTCCTGTCTGCATCTATGAGAGAGTATGGGTCAGCACCAGTAGCTATACTTTTCAGAGACTCTGTGTGAGAGATGTGGCAAGACTGTCGACAGACTGCTACCGAGCGTTTTTCGGCCAAATTACGTATCTCAATAATTAATTACTCATTGATAACTCCCTCAATTTTATTGTTTGAAAATAATTGAATATATTAATGGAGTTAATTCACCAATTCAACAATCATGAAAAAAAATCGGTTCAGCGGTTCTCCAGATGTTCCCTCGCGATTGGTCCGCGGTGTTTTTTTTCGGTCCCCCATCCTTTTACTATTCCAACTCGCTACTCCTTAGTTTCAGTGATCGCAGGTTATCCCGGTATTTTTGCTTCCGAATGGAAGCTTCATAAACGCGCGTTTTGACGATCTTCTAATTTTGCTTGTAAATTATGTAGAATGTCATGAAATGTCAAGGTATGATGTTTTTAGAAAATGTGTGTGTGAATGTCAGTATGTCTGCAGATTTTTCGGAATTTTTTTTATAAATCTTCACGAAACAAGCAGTGCGACAGAAGCCATTTGACAGATGACATGACACTAATTTCATTGGTAGGCTTCCGACTGGATCTTAATGTATGTTTTCAAAAACATTGTTCGCTTTGTGCACATACGTATGTCCAGAGAGATTATACGTAGTTGATTAATGAAAATGAATATGAAATTAGAATAAATATATATCAGAACCAGTAGTGGTCACGAAAGTCGAATAAAGTCGATGCCAAAAATCTGAAATTTTTTAAAATAATCGTTGTTATTTGGGAGCACATCTGGGCCCAATTTTAGCTTAATAGGTGAAGTAGTGTTTGAGATACAACAATTTCTGGAACATATTTTTCGCTTAATATCTCAATAAGTACGCGACTGAATTGAAATTTTTTGACGTCAAAATATTCCTTATGATAATATGTATCAAGTCCAGTCACGGTTCTTAAGGAACAGAATACATAGGAGAGACCGTGACAAAGCGGGGTAGCTAAGACAAAGAGGCGGGTGTCAGAATTTCTACCATACTTATATTGCTTTTTAGCAATGATTTTTAAAAATTTTCGTCATTCGTCGGATTAATTTTGTTTTTCAAATTCATTATTCATTTTTCTTAAAATACCATTTTTTCCCCTCAATTTCATTTTTTTCTAGAAATTGAAATTTCCAAATTTATTCATAAGATTTGTTTTATTCATCTTAATTTTACGAAGCGAAATCTCAATACTTCTAATTGATTGTTTTTATTCTCTTGCTTCAGTAGCAAAGTAACGTTTATATCAGTCAACAGAGAGCATGCACAGCAAGTGGGATTCCATTCTTCTCATTTTTTATTTTTTCCGTCTTTACTGATCACCGGGGGATGGGTTTAGCAAGTTTATCTGACTATCTAAGTCTAGATCATTGCGAGAACTCAGCTTTACCCCGGTCTCCCCCATTCCAAAAGTTTCAATTTTACCGCATTCTCCGGAGTGTCACATTACTCCCACTCCTTCTCGGGCTGAGTCAGTCGGAGGGGGCCCCATAAAGAGAGTCATAAAAGTCCTACGCCCGGTATAAAGGGGCTTATTCAAACTATTGTAACCGAGCTAATTGAATCCGAGAGTTACGATTACTGGAAGTGTGCTCTGTCCCCCTCCCTGTTCTAGACTAAGGCACGCGTGGCGCGCCCTATACGCTAGTAATCAATAAATAATGGGTTTATAGTGTTCCTAATGATGGAAGTGACTCAATTTGTCCTTATCAAATATGGAAAATTAACATGTTTTTTCTTCTAGATGATTCATAGAAATCGAGAATATTCCATCGTTTTAATTGTCTCCCACATTAGACCGTTATTATAATTTAGCCTGTATAAGCGTTTCAATCTTGAGGTCTATTTGCGCATTTCTCCAAATGCCCCTCATATGAACCTTATAATCTGTTGATCCTTAGCATCCGTTTGCGTGTTTTCTCACATATTCCCGTTTGACCCATATGATCATTCCACCTTTTATAAAAGCCTCTGATGCTTCACAGTCATTGTTTCCTATTTCACTCTCATGTTCGTTTGGTCCTTTGGATCATATGCTTGTTTTCCCTGCTAGGCTGTGACCTTAATGGGGGTGACCTTAACAACAATGGGATCTATTGACTTGTTTTTCCTATTTGAGTTTTATCAATTCCCAATTATCGGTAGAGAGTTGTCGTTGATAACACACGCACCAGAGGGTGAGAGAACTCCAAAATTATCAAGACTAGCCAAAAATTTCAACAAGGGCGAAGTCGAGAATAGACGCAGAACCCAGCAGCCGAACAGAAGTCCAGCAGCCCAGTGGAATAGCCCAGAAGCCGCACGGAAGCCGAGCAGTCTAGCAGTGGACCCAAGCGGCCGGATAGTGAACAGAGAACTCCGAACTTGCAAGTTTTTAAAGATAGTTCATCCAATTCAAGCACTCGTCTTGTTTCGTTTTCTTTGTATAAAAGGAGATAAAGTAAATTCACAGTGCCGCTCATTCATAGAAAACAAAAATTTAGTAATCGCAGAAAAAATCGTCAGCAGAATGCTAGTGGTAGTGGAAATTTTTTTGTTGTACCCATTGAGGTGATTGACGTGCCTGAAACCCTCCCTCGCGCAATCGGAGTAACCTCGCTGAACTTGGTATCGGGCTACCGATACCCTCCCTTTACCCCACACTCGCAAACACCTAGCGAACACTTAGCACAAATATTTCAGGTTCGTCAAGTTGGCAGTCCTAGGTGCTCAAATCAGGTCGGAAATTTTCGCAAAATTAGGTGCTTTTTTGGGGCCAATTTTGTTTTTTTGGTACTCTTATAGGATCTCTCAAAATTGCGTTTTTTCAATTTGAGCATCAAGTTAACACGAAAAGAGGGGAAGAAAGCGATAAAAAAAATCAAACCTAGGGGATAATTAGGCGCTTTTTAGGTGCTCTCGGATACTGGAGAGAAAACTGCGGAGAAATATTTGTTTTAAAACAAGAATGGAAGCGTTCGCAAGGAAACAACATGGATAGAAGAAGAGCAGGGGAAATAGACATATGGGTATGGCGAATTCCTCGAGTTAGGTGCCATTCAATGAGATAAAACAAAATTTTGGTGCTCGACCCCCGGCCAACTTGTCCAGGGAACGAATCGGTTCAAGAGACAGGGTCATTGGGTATTCTCCGGCAGTCTCGGAATGATGGACATGCTTGGATATATTAGGCGCTTTTGAATGGAGACAGTGGAAATTTTGGTGCTCCGTCTCGACCGATATTTAATGGAAGCACCGTTGAGTCAAGAGACAAAGTCATTGGGAATGTCACCGCCAGTCTCGGAATGATGGACATGCTTGGAGGCATTAGGCACTCTTGAATGGAGACAATTTAAGTTTTGGTGGTCCGTCTCTCGGCCGAGATCCAATTGAAGCTCAGTCGAGTCAAGAGATAAAGTCATTGGACAAGTCTCTAACAGTCTCGGAATGGTGGATATGCTTGGAGACATTAGGCGCTCATGAATGGAAACAATTTGAAATTTGGTGCTCTGTTTCTCAACCGGGATCCGATGGAAGCACCGTCGAGTCGAGAGACAGTCATTAGGCATGCCTCTAGTAGTCTCGGAGTGGTGGACATGCTTGGAGACATTAGGCGCACGCAATCAAAACAATTAAAAATTTAATTCTTCGTCTCTCGATTGAGATCAAATGGACGCTCAGTCGAGTCAAAAGACAAAGTCACTGAGCATGTTTCCACCAGCTTCGGAATGGTGGACATGCTTGGACACATTAGGCGTTCACGAATGAAGGCAATTAAAAATTTGGTGCTTCGTCTCTCGATCGAAATCCAATGGAAGCTCCGTCGAGTCAAAATACAAAATCATTAGACATGTCTCCAGCAGTCTCGGAATGGTGAATATCCTTGCAGACATTGGGCGCTCGCAAATGAAGACAATTAAAAATTTGGTGCTTCGTCTCGATCGAGATCGAAGACGACCACCAATGACAGGTTAGCCGAGTCAAGAGACAAAGTCATTGGGCATATCACCGCCAGTATCGGGATGGAGGACCTGGTTGGAGATATTAGGCTCTCGCAAATCAAGGCAATTGAACATTTGGTGCTTCGTCTCTCGATCGAAATCCAATGCAAGCTCAGTCGAGTCAAGAGACAAATTCATTGGGCATGCCTCTAGCAGTCGCGGAGGGATGGACCATTCCAAGCAGTCGCGGAGTGGTGGACCATTGACTCGACAGTGCTTCCATTGGATCCCAGTTGAAATGAGACACTAAA